GAGAACCATTTTAAATTCGTATTAAATATGTATTATCAATACGTATAATCAGGGCCGGATTAACCCACTTTGGGGCCCTAGACATTTTCTTCTTACCGGGGCCCCCTTCCCCTCTCACAAGAAATAGAGCACACAAAAAATATAAAATAATAAATAAAACAAAACTAAATAATGTGAAAAACTAAAACAAATCTTACATTTTTATTAATAAAAAATATTCAATACACAACAGTAAATTTTAGTTTTTCTAGAAAAGTTTGAAGTTTGTTTATAAATTTAAAAGATTGAAATTTATTTTATTAAATATCTAACAAAAGTTCTTATACAATAACAATATTATCTTAAAATATTAACTGTCAACAAGACTATGTCTTGTTTATAAAATCGTATGCCTGCTGTGTTACTAGCTTAGAGGTATGAAGGAGTACATGTCAGGAGTTGCAATTTGGCACAGAGTATTAAGTGCCCAAATCATGCACACATAAAAAAAAACCTGACTTGTAGGTACTCGGGACCGAGAACCGAGTGAAAGTAAAATACAAAATGGCGACTCTCTCTACAAACAGGCAAACCGAAGACAGGTGGTGAGAGTACCACCCACAGTCGTTCTAGGAAGTGGATTCTGACCCTAGGACTGAACACGTAGTATTTTCTTTGTTAAATAAAATTTGTAATCTAATTTTGTAAATTTGAGTGTTTCAAATATGACATTAAAACAGGGTTTTATGTCGTTACAAGTAGGTTTTTTTTTAACATTATCTAGTATAGTAAATCATGCGACCGATAAAAATTTGACATTATATTAGGGTTGTCGTTACATCCGATGACGTTATAATCGGGTTAAACTGTATATTGTTTGTGCAAAATAAAAAATAATTTCGGACGATACAATAGCCACGATTATTTTTTTCAAAAACGGGAAATTTTCGTTACGCATCGACAAAAATTCAACCCGGGCCGACGAGTTGCAACGGAGAATTGTATAGGTTAATTTCACCGAAAATGCATCGTGGACGACCTCGTGGTCGTTGCCGGCGAAGTTTGAACGATCGCGCCCAAAAGCAGCGATAGAGTTTGACTGGGCCCTTCTAAAAACAGGGCCCTAGACATTTGTCTCATTTGTCTATGCGATGATCCGGCCCTGCGTATAATGGCTAATGACACGTAAGTGACGGGGGTCATTAATCTATCGTGATGTTCATGAAAGGAAAAGTATTGAAATGCTTAAGTAATCCGACAGAAATATTGATTTAATATATGAGAAAAACAATATAACTTCACAATTCAGAATATCTTCCAAATAGAAATGAGCTACATTAAAAGATTCAGTAACAAAATACTCATAAAAGTTACTGTATTTCGTACGTCAAGCTGTATATAAGTGGAGTTTTTTTCCTCCACTTATATACAGCTTATATATAGAAATAAACGCAATTCGCCAACAGATTCGTATCCCTCTCGAGATACGAGTCTAACAATTGTTGAAATTTTACAGGACATAAAGTCGTGTGTTGTAAATAGGCTTTCTCCGTGTTTGTCGAAAGCTTCCAGCAATAATAAGATATATTGTGATCATCTATCTCACATGTAAAATCATGGATTGAACAGACATTCTGCAGTTTTATTTGCTGAATGATAAATAATTTGCATTTCCATCTTAAATTTTCTAGCTCATATCTTAAACTCAGATGATATAGATCGAACGTCTGCTTAATAAAGGCCAATCTGGGATCTTTCTTCTGTATGTAGCTGTATAAAAAATGTAAATAACAATGTATTGAAATTAATTAAAGAGAAATTATTATGAGAAACTTATGTAAAGAATTTATCGCACACATTCTAAATAACAAAAACTAATTATGTTTCCAATTTATAATCATTTTCAGAAGTTTTTATAGTTTGGAAAAAGAGTTATCTTCTTTTTAACTGGCGTATTATCAGTGTCTTACATTAAATTAATTATTACTGTATATCTATCTATGTTTTAAAATCATGCCATCAGAAAGAATTCTTTTTTAAACTGAAACTAAAAACAGAGCCTCAAAATTCTCATTTTTCTAAATAGTAAAATAACCTAAAATACCAAATATGTCATTATAAAACATTTCACTATGGTCAAATTTTACCTCATCAAATTGAAGAGGAAACAGATGTTATCATTGTCTTTTTATAGTCATCGCAAATACAAATATTTGTAAATGGAAGTGTTAATGGAAAACGAAGCCGATGTTCGCAACCTCTGCAGATTTATGATGAATCTTTAACCAACCCATTGAAGCACAGTTTCTTGTTATACTTTCAATTTCTGCGGCACCTTCCAATATTCTTCTAACAAACTCTAACAACACTTCAACCAGCTTTTCGTATTATCTGCTTTATTTTTCCTTCGAAGTATATTCCTTCACTAACGGTACCAAGTGTTGTTATTTTATTATAGGAATCCTTTATGTATTTTCTATCAAAACAAGACTTTTTTTTATGATAAGAATATCCCTACCTCCACGTACTCTACCACTCCAATCGACACTTCTTCCCACTTTTTGAATTCGAAATTTTCTTGTCATGAAGCATTTCTTCTTATTTTTCGTCTCACTGTGGTTCCTACCCCATTTACTTCTTATGATTCCAAGAAATACTTCTTAGAACTCAAAGTCCCCGGGGACACATTGGCGGAAATTTGGTATCCGTGGTCCACAGATTGATACTCAGCACTACTCAAATTAACTGAAGTACTGAGATATAAAGATTTTATACTTAAACAAGTACATTCAATACAAAAGTAAATAAAGTTTATTAGAAGTGCTCGGAAAAAAGCGATACTTCGATTTGCCCTTTGACTCTTCTAAAAAACCCTTCGACCCCTATAACTGGGAGAGTCTATTTTCTAAGTTCAAACAATGTACTGTACACTGGTGAGAGGTAAACACGTGAATAAGCATATTCGTTAATTTGGTTTCGTCACTGCTTTGAGTCAGAGAATTAAAACATTTAGGTAAGTATATTTTTTAAAATATTGTAAAGATAGTGATTTTTATATTAATTTTAGAAGAGAATATACATTTGACACTAAAGTATGTGATCATATAGTGGCAACGACTACTAATCTAGTCGACACCATTTTTATAATCCTCGACAAAAGAAACAAGCAGCCTATATTATTTAGTTTGATATTAGTCATCCTGAATCTAACATTTTGACCGAATATTCTTAAATATTTTAATGGTTTCCACGTAATACTTACTTCTTTTTATTTATTATCTTGTATCACAGAGATGTTTTTGTCCTAAGAACGTGACAGAGCACGTTACTCATTGCTGTCTCACGTTATAAGTTTGGTTTCTTACGGATACGATCTTATTGTATTTTGTAACTACTACCATAAATACCAGCATTGCAAATACGGATATGATTACGGTACGGAGTTTATAACCCAGTCCTTAGTGTTTTGCAATTCCATAATTTATGCCATGATTACCAGGAGACCTTACGGAGGTCTCTGTCACGGATCCGAGTAACATTGTGTGTGGATAAGTTTTGATATGAACCTTTATTAAGCAAACGTAGAAAGCGCACTTATATTCGGATCCGTGACGAACACCTCATAAGATCTCCTTGTCAGTATCTCACACCTCGAAGCTACTTGCCAGTTGTCTCCAATAATCGTACAGAATGGAATTCGATTTACGACATCGATGGCTATCATTTTAACAGTGTAAAGTCTTTGTCAATCCTATCGGATTTACTGTTTCTGTGCAAATTACGTCTAAAATTTAGTTTTATTTTTCTGTCTTATTCGAGTTGGATTGAGGAAACTTGTCTGTAAAACTCCATTCATTTTCAAACGATTTGAATTTCAAGATTTGCTGGATGGTTTTTAAATAAATACCACTAACCAGAAACAGCACAATGTCATAATCCGTGACATTGTTTGCAGCGCAAGTTATCAATCATTTCAAGATTTTCATTTAGATAATCACTTATAATATGTCTTCTTTGTTTTGAAGATATTCACTTGTATTGGCCATTCTCTTTAGATGAAGTTTGGGAAAATTCTCTTTTTAATGATATTCCATATTTGTACCAAGTTGAGATAAAACTTGAGGACAGTTGAGACTGTCATCAAGTTAAAAACACCTGAGGACAATCCTCGTGCATACTCTGTACACACTACAAGTGGCCAAATAGATAAAGATACTGAATTCTAGTCGTGAATTTGAGCCGCGAGGCAGCTTGAATACTTGGCGTGTTCCGGTTTTTTTTTCACATTTGTAACACCGAAATAGGGGCCAATTTCTGATTGAAAGTCCTTCCGGATAACATTATCCCGTAGATCAGCCGTACACAAGTAACTACAATAACAATACTTTTTACTATCCTTCAAAATACACGCAGTGTTTGTAAGTAGAGAGCAGCGGTGTTTTCTTTTCAGAAAAAGAAACTATTTGTTTTAATCAAAAATAATTGTATATTTTAGTATAATTAATTCTTCTTAAAATGATGATTACAGGACATACAATGTATGAAGCCATCCAAATGGCACAACACCGCAAACAGTGGAAAGATACAATTAAAGCCGTCAATTGGTAATATCACCACGCCCTCTGAAGGGCATAGAACTAAGAAAAAGAATTAAAATCCATAACTTATTTCGATTTTTTCTATAATAAATGAAATGTGATTTTAGTGTTCTCGAAACATTAACAAAACAATAGAGATTTTGTAAACATTCTTCAAAGAATTGTCTGTTATAAAACATTTTATAAAAAATGTATGAATTATCACTAAATTTTAATACGCGGTAATTTAGTCTATTTGCATAACTGTATTAGCATTTTGCTTATACAATTATATTTTAATCTATTATTTTACTTATAACTTGTTTATAATTAATAAATTCCACTTAACTAGAAATTAAGCAACCGATCATGTAGTGAGTGTTGTCATTGATTATCATGAACATAGCTGCTCGTGATTACAAGCATCCGTAATCTCGAGAACGATTACAGCAGGAAGACCAATCATGAATGTTCCGAAAGAAGTAATCTTGAGATCTGTAAAAGGAGGAGATGTTACAGTTAGCGGTTCTTCATTGTTAAAACGAGGAGAAAAATTAAAATCACTTTTATTGAAATCTACTTTACAAACACCAGCTATTCTACTACCACTGTCGGTAAATGTACTCCGCGTTATTGCCAAGTAAGTATATTTTTCATAATAAATATATAAAAACACTGGTTGTATTTTTAGTTATTTATTCTTATTTATTACAAGTAAATTTGTTTATATTTAATTAAACTAAATTTTGTTATTAGTTGATACAGTAGAACCTCGTAAACTCGGCCTAATGTGGACCGAAGGGTGGCCGAGTTTGTGAAAATGCCGGGTTATCGGGAATGGGGTTAAAAAAAATAAGTACGAGTGTTTCCTCAGAAAATACTGTACTGTACTTGTATGTATTGTTTACTTGAGAATATAACAGAGAATAAACTGCCCAAATACCCTTAAACAAAGGAAAAGTAC